GTGTTATCGGTGCTGCATATATGCTGAAAAAAGTGAAAAAACAGCATAAATTCCCTATAAGTGACCCGATCATGCTGATTTTCGAACTTGACCTGCGTATTATGAATATTCATCAGTTCTGTAAGTTTCAAGCCAAATGGTAAAATGATTCTCCACTTATCGTGTTATCGGTGCTGCATATATGCTGAAAAAAGTGAAAAAACAGCATAAATGCCCTATAAGTGACCCGATCATGCTGATTTTCGAACTTGACCTGCGTATTACGAATATTCATCAGTTCTGTAAGTTTCAAGCCAAAAGGTAAAATGATTTTCCACTTATCGTGTTATCGGTAAAAGTGCACGGCGACGGCGACGGCGACGACAGACGCAGATGATGGCTATATGTACAGACACATCTGTGTCTGTACATAAAAACATTAAGGAACACACTATAACCCCTTCCCTTTACAGGACCATATTGTTAATATTCTCTCTTCATAAACTAATTTCTAAAACAATATCAAGTTGATTTATGTTCTAAGAAGATACCCACCTTTTCCCACAAGTCATTCATGTTGGTATTGAGTCCTGATGAATTTTATTAGTTGAGAAAACATTTTCCTTGATTCACTATACCTAGATTAACTGTATCCTTCATTCACCACAAGTTCACTTTCAATTATATAAAATATGTTCAAGTCCTTCGTACACCATATAATGAAGTATCTGAGAAATACTACAACTGTGTAGGCTGTGTATAAACCAAAGAACATAGGGCAGATAACAGCTAAGCCCAGCTTTCCCTGTAGCATTCTATTGACTACAGTCAAATATCATAGATTTTTCCTCTTCTATGCCTTAGCAGTGGAGCTATTTTGTAATTGGATTGGCAGAAATGGCTCAGTCTATCCACGTTAATGGGCAACATTTACGGAGGAGCTTTGTGGGTCTTATCAAAGAAATCCTATGTACAACTTGATATATTAGGCAATTATGGCTATTACTTTTACTCTCATATTATATATCACAAGATCCAAAAGAAACTTTTGTAATCTCAATGTTATCGAAGCAGTAACAAAGTATATTGCTCAAATGCCACAACTAGTCCATAAAAAATGGAGATAAATGTACTGAACATTTCATATGAAGAACTATTATAAGTAAACCAAACAAAGATAAATATCAGAATTTTCCACAGTATAAAAGTAATAATATAGGTTGATAAAACCTTAGTTTAAGCCAGCTTTTGGTCAGATGTTATCTTAAACAATACACTCCCAGTGAAACCCAGTTCAAAGTCTTTTAATCAGCAGGTTCAAGTATGCACTTCAACAGTGTTTTGATCTCGAGATGAAGACCTACATGTGGAGTCAAGTACACATGTCACTATCACACCTGTCAGAAGACAAATTTCATTTTAGCAAACCCCTCCTGTCAGAAGACAAATTTCATGTTACCAAAACCCTCTTTATTAAAGAACAGTTAACAGATGACAACTCTTCATTTTGATGGGGAAAAATGCCATGATGATACTTAACTGAAAAACTGCTGACTGACAACTGTACAACAAAGTTTAGACTACTGATATATAGTGAAGTTGCTACATATGATTTCATTTACTTGCAAGAAGTCATACTGTAAAAGGGGGGGGGGGGCGATTCCTTATTTTTGTCATTCATTCACATAATTGATTACAAAAAAAAACTGCAACAAATCATTTCTAAGGACACAGCTTTTACATTTGCATATTTACCATATACCATTTGGGTATCAATTATCAATTATCAATACTGTATTTGGTATTTGCCTCCAAATCCCAACCTAATCTGAATGTTCCTCAAAATGTAGAAAGAAGTGATGGGATTCAATAGCAATCCTTTTACATAGTTAAATCAGCATATTCTCCTTTTCGACAAGTTTCCATTATTCTGATAAAATGATTAAAAGTGCGTGAACTTAATCACTAAATTAATTATGACAGTGCAGTAATAATATCATCAAAGGCATCACATCATGGATTTGGTGTTCTATATTCAAGCAGAGTTCATTTATCATTTCAAACAGCAATTATACATGAACACCACAAAGTTGCAAAATGTGGGTGGTACTGGTCGTTCATTGGTGCCACAACACGGCTTTGTCTCAGGTTACAACAGCTGATCAACTTCCAGTTTCAACTGTTGCTCGAGTCAACAGAACTTCTTAAAAGGCAATAACTTTTTATCTAATACACATTTCAGTGACCTTACCTTGGTGTATAATTCTTTCGTAGACATCTTCTATTTGTAAAATTCCGTTTAGGTGTGCAGCGTGTCGTCACTTTCCATTTTTGTATTATTGCTCACATGACCAAAACAAGCGACTGGCTAGCGGCCGCCATATTTACGCCCCCGATGACAGGCGTGAAAGTCCGAGATCCCGCTAAGGGGCTTTTTCGTGGCACAAGACAAGACTAGTCGATACTAATCAAACGATGTAATAATAATAATAATAATAATAATAATAATAATAATAATAATAATATGTGTATCAAATTATTATTATTATTATTATTATTATTATTATTATTATTATTATCTCGACGTTTTATGTGCACTTTGTGTATCAAATATATGTAACACCAATGATAGAATGATAGAATGCGTTGATGTATATCATTCGTGACGATGCTTAACCGATGTTTTCTCATATCATGCATTTCTAAAAAAATCTCAACAGTTTCTCAAAGTGCTGTTATCTGAAAGGCAATGGCTTGTAAATGAAAAATTAAATAGCTTGGAAAAATGTTTGAATATGTTTTGATAAATTTAAAAGTAATAATTAATGAACAAGCTGAACTAGTACTCAAACATGCAAAAAGGATACCTTTCATAATCATTAAATTTTTTAAAAGCAATTTCATTAAAAAAGAATCAGAAAAAAATAATTCCCTATGAAATAATACCATATTTCTTTTTATTTCATTTCACATATTTCCTTTTTGAAAAAGTGACATTTTTTTAAATCTGTACACTACCTCTCAATGAAAATGACTGCAGTTCACTGAACTTTAAACCTTCATCATTTTTTCAAAGTTTTTACAGCCATGCTAACATTTCAATATGCAATATGAAGTTTAAAGGGGTATACTTAATTTTCTTCTAAATATAAATAGTGTAGTAAATATGAATCCTATAACTATGGGAAATTAATTGCACTATCAAATTTTTTATGCCTTTTGGCACAGTATTGCATCTTCTGTCAGAACCAAATGGCTGAAAGATGGTTGCCAAATTATCATGAGATACTTGCAAATGTCTGCTGAAGAACTGTTCTGTGACCTCACACAAACTCAAAATGAGGCCTCTAATTGATAATTCAAACATGTAGATACTTAAAAAACATTTTAGCTTAGATACAAACATGTTCTTAATAATATTTCTATAAGGGCAGATTACATTTGTTCTAAAAAATGGATTCTGTTAATTGTAACAATTATTAAAATAATCAATTACTTAAGTAGTTCACAAAAATTAATTAGTATATTCCCTTTCTTCTTTTAATTTTTTGCAAAAACAAAATAATTGTTCACTTAGGAAATTTATCTAACACATGTACATGGCAAGCCTAACTTTTTCTAATTAAAAGTTAACACTAAAAAAAGATACACAAAATCATTCTATAAATTTACAAATCTATTTAAATCACAACAAATTATAACTAAAAACAGTATTTTTACAGGACATTTATCCAAATTCAACTGCTGTGGTGAAAAATATACTGAATGCAGCTATCACAAGCAGCACATACGACACCTGTACCACAATTCTCCTACTGAGAGTACAGTAAACTGCTTCAGGCAGTGTGTTTCATATCTATCATTTTGATAAATATTATGACTTAAAGAGTATACACCCTTCTTTCAAACATCTACCTAATGAACTCTTTTTATCAAAACCACAAAAGCTACAAATCACTATATCCACCGCGCTGAAAACAGACATGGTCACTTTCACTTTTGCTTTCAGCATTAATGATTTTATCCTATAGATGGCGAAAAAGTGCATGCATATGTTTCCGAAAAAGTGTTCATAATATTTGTGTCATATGCAATACAAAGAGCTCAAGAAGAGACCAAGAAATTTATAAAGAATAAGAATATGTGAAACTTTTCAGTGTTCATGTCCTCTTCTATTGCTCATATTCATAGAGACTGGGTACTGGAGTAGCTTTTCTTGAAGTATGTTAAATGCCGCTTCCTTCTTCCTTTTCCCGTCTCTACGTAAACAGGTACATCAAGACTTCTAAATTATTTTATTGGGTTTGTGTAAATGTATATACTGTCTCCACTGGTTACTTAGATTGCAAACAATATAGTGACGCCATACGTTAACATTTTACTGGTATAAAAGCGTAGACACATTATACTTAACTAAGTACATTACTGTAACCGGTAGTGCTTAAAAAGTTTTTTATCTGTACTACATGGCACACGTAGAAATTATTGTACATGTAATACATGTAACATCGTTCAGCATTGCCTTAATTTTGCATTCTTCTGCAATCTAAATTGCCTGATGTGGTAAATTACAGACTAAGGGATTCGTAATTTAATATGGACATTCGGACGCCGCATTCGGACCTGGCTTTAATTGTTAACTTTAACTGACTGTAAGTACATGTACATGTAATATGATTAAATCAAGCAATATTGGCTCTGCTTATATATTTTCATAGGGTTGATATTCAGTGTTTGAGTTGAAGATGGATGACACAGAAACTGACACTCCTCCCAGCAGAGGAGGATTCATAGATTTAGGGAAAGATAAAAGGTAATTGATCGAAATTATTTGTGCTGTAATAAAAATTAATGTATATACTATATAAGTACTAGTACTAGTAGCACAAACTATCATGTCCTGGATCTATGAGGCCTCATGCACTGATTTAATGTTATGGATGACATCCTGTGGAGAACCAAAAACTAACACTAGAGGACCAAAAAAAATCCTGTTAAATTGAAGGAGTACACAGCTGGAACCACATGCCAGACACAGTGTATCAAACAAGCAACACATCTCTTAACACAAACATCTTCACATGTTAATTATTCTAGATGATTTTTAAAAGGATAAAATTACTGGTCCGAGAACCAAGGGGGTCATCTGGTCCTCTGCTACTGAGTCTGGCCAATTTAAACGAAGTGACACATGCACACAACCTGTATTTGATTACAAGCCAAGAGAGAATACACATTAATGATAATATCCTCCTTTAGTTCCAATTGAATCAGATTTGATATTTAGTTCTTGTATGATATTTTTGCTACTTTAGTGATATAATATTACATCATTTGTTTTTATCTTAGGCCAGACAAACAGGTGGCTCATGTAAGAGCAGGTCCAGAGAATGAATATCCAATGGACTGTAGATACATGGGAAAAGCAATCATATTCAACATCATGGAGTTTAAAGGCAGTGGCATTAAAAGGTACAATGAGACAAAATTAGTCAGTTCGGATTTCATTTGGTTGCCAATAGTCCTTTTTTTTTTTTTTTTGTTTCGTTTTAATTGTTTATTTCTCTAATATTAATACCCAAAGATGAGAGCGCATATCATTTTCAGCTCTTAAAGAAATTCAGTTTAAGATTAACAGGGGCAGATCCAGAGATATTGTCTGACTGTCTTCCAAATAATCTTCCTTGATCCATCCATTTTTGACTGTCCTCTGACAAAAAAAATTAGATACCTGTCAATGTAATCTTGAAAATCTGACCCATCTTCCATAGGATAAAGTGGTTGAGTTTTCATGGATTCAAACTTTTTTGTTATTGCAAGATGAAAAACAAACATTTAATTCGGATGAATCTGCCATTGATATAAATAACCTTCTCCTATTGGTAAACTTTGTCATAGACCACTTAATAATTGACTTAAATCTCTTAATAATTGTCAGTTTGAAAGGTTTTTTTTATAGATACTGGTACATTTTTTAATTGAAGACAATATTTTGTAGCATGTTCATGAATAGGACTTTTTTAAGTTAAAGTAGCCTTCCTACTTATACCAGTAGAATTTTCAAGTAGGTGTGGACATTTATCATTTACATACCCTAACGAAAAAGTCCTGTAGAACCCTATAAGATCCTATAGGAAATTGGGCCAATTTCCTATAGAATCCTATAGGATCTTATAGGAGCCTATAAGACTTTATATATGTTTAATTTCAGGAAAGATGTGGATGCTGCAAAATTATATGGAAAATTGGAAGATCTAAAGTTTCAGGTGTCGCTAAAAAACAATTTTTCAGCTGAGGAGATAAAAGATTGTCTTGCAAGAGGTATGACAGGTTTAACGATAAATGCTAAAATAAAAATCATTATAATGATTTATATTTAAGATTGCAATCCAGAGGGTTGAGGTTGTATATGAAATTTAAAGAGCATTGCAATCATAATGAAATGCTTCATGTTTGAATGAAACTACCCATTAGTTAAAAGACAGCTTCTGGAGCTTCATAACTACTGACCATGAAATACAATAATGCATTTTACTATGTGAAATTTTAAAAAACATATGGAATAATGGAGGATTGAAATCTTTATGTATTGGAATTTGGCACATAATATCTCATTTTCTGTTGTTTGGTCTTAAAAATGATAGGATTGCTAAAAAAAATTGATTTAAGTTCAGTTTGTCTGAGGGTTCATTTATTTTGTAAAAGAAAGTTTTGCACAGATCTTCTCTTATTGTACCACCAGCGTAGGCGCTGGCGGTACACATGGTTTTAGTCCCGACCCGTATGTTCCGCCGGCTCCGCCGGCTCCTGCGGCTCCACCGCCAAGTCACCGTTACCGCTTCTCCTCCTAGACGGTAAGGGTCTCCATACTCATCTCTTGGATTTAGGTCACCTATAAACTCAACTCGTTCCACGTAAAATTNTTTTTTTCCAGTGGCGGCATTTACCTCTCTGGGATATCTTTGATAATTTTTTGACAAGGGTGCTCTTAAGGAAATGCCCACCTAGAAAAAAAGAAGCAGGGATGGGAATATTTATCATTTACTCTTTTTCTCTCTCTCAGAAAAAAAGGGAACAACGCTTAAAATGTACATACCAATGGACATATGTATGAAACTTTTTTTCTTGCCAGTTGTCTTTATGCTCTTGGTTAATATCAATTCATGACAAATTAGTAATTCAGTGATAGGCTCTCAAAAGATGCACTGTTTGTTAATATCAAAGTGTGAAATCTATTTGAAGATTTATTTGAAGAAGGAAAAGAAAACTTTCAAATATCATTCCTTTTAGACAGTATTTAAAAGAGACTGCTACATAAATATGTGCGGCTATTGCCTAACCTTGACTAAAAAATTGTGGATAGTATTTGTAGATCTATATAA